CTGTTTAAAGGTTTGGTTAGATTTTGAGGTGAATGCCGACATTTTTGTGCTTTGTAAAGAATATTACCATAAAATATTGGATGTGAAATACCTGAACGTATAAGATGTCTGCATGTTGATTTATATTTACGAATGATGTCCTTGTACCGATGAAAAAATTTAGTAAATGTTTTGACTAGTTTGTGATATCGAAAACCCTGGTGTAATAATTTTTCAGTAATACAGAGATTTCTTTCGTTGAAATCAAATACGTTGTTACATACACGAGCGAATCGAACAAGTTGAGATATATAAACACCATAAGATGGCGACAAGGGAACGTCACCATCTAAAAATGGATAATTAACAATAGGAAATGAAAAATCATCTCTTTTATCATGAATTTTGGTATTAAGCTTCCCGTTAAAGATAAAGATATCAAGATCCAGGAAAGGGCAGTGTTCATTGTTAGTATTAGCTTTATTTAAAGTCAGTTCGGCAGGATAAATCTCTTTAGTGTACATACTGATGTCGTCATTATTGAGAGCCAATATATCATCTAAATATCTAAAAGTGTTATTAAATTTTTGAATCAGATGTTGTTTCGATGGGTCTTTGCTGATTTTAGTCATAAATTGTAACTCATAACAATACAGAAACAGGTCCGCAATAGTGGTGCATAGTTAGTCCCCATGGGAATTCCGATAACCTGACGATATACGGAATCTCCAAAGCGAACAAAAATGTTATCTAGTAAAAACTCAAGGGCAGTTATAGTATCAAAGCAGGTCCAATTGATATAGTTCTTTAGTTTGTTGTTACATAAAAATGACCTTAAAGAGTTTGAACATATATATTCGCATTCCGACTTTTTAAATGCCCATTTAATCAGGTGTGTGAATTTTTTCTTAATAAGATTATGAGGCAACGTGGTATATAGGGTAGAAAAATCAAAACTTTGAACAGATTCGAAATCACCAATATAAGCATGCAATTTATCAAGTACTTCCAACGAATTTTTGACACTCCAAAAGTAATTAATTCCACTATTTTCAAAGGCCTTATTTGAACAATTTATTACCAGGTTTTTGATTGTACCAAGTGTATTAGTAAGCAGAATAGATAGTTAAGTAGTGGAACAATGGCTTAAAGACGAAATAAATCTATATTTGTATGGAGTTTTATGCAGCTTCGGAAGCCAGTACATAGTTGGAACTTTCGTTGTATTTGGTTCTGCTTGTAAAGAGGTAGCTAAAAGTTTATGTCTGTAACAGATGTCATTTTCCGAAAATGGAGTCAGTTGGAATGTTGGTGAATTCGTGATTTCCTTTTGTAGAACATCAGTGTAAAATTTACGTCAAACAATAATGATATTGTTAGCAGCCTTATCAGCCGGGACAAAAATATATTCCTTGGCGAGTTCTTTTAGCTTATGTTTGATACGGGAAATTGGTTTATTATGGTTGTTGTTAGGAGTAAAATGATCTTTGAAATGTTGAATACGCATATCAACTATGTTCATTACCGAATTTAAAAAAGAATCTAATGATTTCTTGTCAGCTTTTTCTCGTTTTATCCATTTAGAGCAGTAAGTACGGAGTGAGTCGTGGATGATGTTACGACACTCATTCCAATTAATAATTGACGGGGGACGATATTTAGGTCCTTTACTGAGGAATGATTTCAACTCTCGGTCATGAACGATGTTAAGGTCTCCTGTTATAACATGGGAACTGGGGCCATAAATGTATTCGGATTTACTGCAATTTCATGAGGTAGGTGTATTGTCACTGATATTAACATCTTTACACACTTCGCTGTAATTAAACACATATTTCCGAGTAGATTTTTTGTAAACATAACAAATAAGAGGGAGTTCAGTATTATCAAAATAGCCAGGAATTTGTTCTTTAACAGAATGATCATTAAAAATACCGGCAATATTTACAAAATCAAAACCTTTATTGACATATTTAATTTTAATAAAATGTTTTTTGTGATCTTCAAGGCGATCAATTTTGGGAAAAAATTTAGAATAACAATATGCAATTATAATTTGGACGGTTTCATACTTAGGACTGCAATATGGAATTGTGTTGCATTCCTCCGAAATTTGATGTAATTTATTAACAGGCAAAGAACAGAGCATGGTTAATAGATAGTGTCTACCGTTGTTTTTTGAAATAGAAATTAGGTCCGAAATATTTGTATTGTTATTACGAAATTTTCTTTGATTGCGATTTATTCTACTCCCATGAGAACGGTTTTTACGTACTGTAATGAATATTTTCTTGGAAGGGCCATACTTTTCTAAAACAAATAAATAAGTAAACAACCAAAGAAAAAGTAAACGAACATCTCCGATATCTTTTTGAAAAAAATAATCGATGAAGAGGTACAAACACAGATGATTAAATAAGAGGCAAAAGATAAAGGGGGACATTCAAACTCATAATTCGAAAATTAACTGACACCGCCATGGCTAAAAAAAAGACTAACAGACAAACATAGTACACAAATCTCAACATAGAAAACTTATTACTAAGCAACACGAACCCCACCAAAAACGGGGGGGGGGGGGGATCTCATGTGCTCCGGAAAGTTAAGCAGATCCTGTCCACATGTGGCACAATTCGTTTTGTTCGTGTTAGTACAAACCCGGTATCAAGTCGAACTCGGTAGGTCACATTCATGAAAAGGGGACGGGATTGTAGTTACGACATTAGGAACATATCAGCTATCATCTGTGGAACGGATTTTCCATAACGGTCAACCAACACGTGATGGTGTCAGTAAAATTACGAAAGGATGATTTCAACTTTACCATTTAGAGCTCTTGGTTTAGACATTACCCCTCCCTTTTCAGTGTTAATACATTCTCCAAAAAAAAGATTGGTAATTCTGAAAAATTGTATAAGCCTTTTATAATATTTGTAATCCACTAAAATGTATGTATATAGAAGGCTATTCCGAACGAATCAAACAACAAAGAGAAAACATTTTCCACTTTCATCAGCTAGCAGACGGCTAGCTTTTTAGAAAAGCTATTACTTGTAGTATAATATTCCCAGATTTATTGTCACAATGCACAATAGCACGTTGTATTAAATACTACACACAGAACGCACACAGGGGCCGTCTCAAAGCATGAATAATATAATTGCGTTATCATTATACTTGATATTTAATAAACATTCTGATTACTTAGTATGTTGCATTATTAAAACGCATATGTTCTACCAAAAGGTAAGTAGGTGGCAATATATGATTGATTTTTGATTGCAATTGAATCTTTATTTCTTTTTTATTTTCCGATCTACAAATGAACTTCGATTGTTGAACTATACAATGTCACGTGGTAGCCTATCCATAGAGGGACCGTATCAAAGACATAAACAACTTCATGTATAAATGATCGAAACTTTTCGAGGCGTTCCGAAAATACTGTTTCCGAGGATATCGAACGGCCCAAAGAAGCTTCCAAAACTCGCCAATTTATACGCGTGAACCCCTCAGGGAGTTCACGCAAAAATGTAAAACTATTCAAACGAGAAAACTAATGGCCTTATTTATAACAATGCAATCTACGCGAACAACAACCACTGAATTACAGGCTCCAGACTTGGGACAGACACATTTAGTTGCTTACTTCTATTTATTTGGTCTCTGGCGGAGGGTTCTCATTGGCAATCATACCAAATTTCTTTTGATTTTGCATAAAAAAATGTGGTGGGGTTAAACATATCTGTGATCGCTCAACCATCCCCTTAGCTGGATCAGTGGTGTTACATCAAAACATAAGAACAAACTGTAAAAATCAGTAACAAATGGCTTAACTCAATTGATCGGTTCGAAACACACACTCAATAAAAACAAATAGCATAAAAACAATAGACACAAACCACCGATAGAAGAGTACTCGTCAATTAAAACTGATAAATAAATCATGTTTCACAGACTAAAGTTTGTTTAAAGTTGGCCATGCGGTTTTAGAGGAAAAACTGTAAATATGAAAGTTTTATAGACGACAGTAAGGATGAATGCAAAGTGATGGTAATAACTCACTTTTAGGCTAGGTGAGCTAAAAATCAAAGTTTTATCATCACACCAAATTCGTCTGAACATCTGAACGAGGTTTGATAGTTTTATAATCATGTTTTATTCTTGAATTCAAAGGACCAAAAAAGTTACCTTGTCATATCTTTTCTTTTATCCATAGCTTTTATAGATTCAGGCTGTATATGCACTTACCTATTGTTTACCACTCGATTTGATATCATATGGTTTGATATTACCTATGCGGTAGCAACCCAGCGGCAAAAACATTTAGGTGTAACTGAAAAAGGTAACCACTGACGCTGTAACTGTTTCAGACAGGCACGTGAACATGGATCGGGGAAGAACTGACATACAATAACAATATGTAAATATACTAATACGTAGTTTCTCCTTGTTTTAGCCTCTTTCAGATTTAAAAGCACTTGACCAGAACTTGGAGAAAGTATCCTACTGGACAATTACAGCCCAACAACTTATTATCAATTTTCTTACTTCAATATCAGTGGAGGTAATTGACTTCATTATACAAGTCTGACTATTGCTTTTAAACGTCTGTAAGGGTCATATAACATTGCATATATTCTTGTATGTGAAGCTTGACCTACGTAAAAATGTAGGGTTTACAGTCGCAAATTTGAGATTACCTGGCCTATAAATAAGTTGGGCGTAACACATGAACAGCCAATTGTGCGTATTCATGCGTTTGCGCTAAAAGTAGATATACCGTGATTATACTGGTTGACGTTATATAGGTCGTCATATTAGAATTAATGTTCTTAAATTAAAAAGACAACAAGGTGTGGACCCACTCATCATAACAAAACGTATAAGCTTAAACAGTAGTACTCGTGTAGAAATATCTACCAGGGCAACAATAATCGCCAAGATATTTAAAAAATGTCTTTTATTAAATATCTTTTACAAAGACATTTTCTCTTAATAGATTAGCGACTCTCTTTTTTTAGTATGTCAACCATGAAAGCGGTGTCATGTCTGCTACAAAGAGACAACAACGTGAACCTCCTTTTAAGGTTTTAGATGATTTAAAGATAAACAGCACGACTGAGATAATGTTTGAAAGTAATAAAGCAGATAAGGCAATTATACCACAAAGTCCAACTCAACTTAAGGCAACAATGACTAGTCAAGATGCAGTAAAAAAGCTGACAACTTCCACACAATTTGGAAACCCATCATCATGCCAGGATATAAATCAGGTATGTTTAAACTCTCCACGTCGAAGATGCAGAGTCAATACCATTGCTAGCGGAGTTTCGTCTCTGAGAGTATCACTCTGATGTTGATATGAAATATCACTGATTAGGTCATTATCTGTTGATCATCTGTATACACATAATATCAAAATCATTTGAAACACTGCAACTTATTTGTATCTCGAGATATAGATGACCTCACCAATATTTGACGAATCATTTGTTTTGAACTCTTCGACTTCTTAATTGATTTTGTCACTGTTTTGTTTTGAGTGCCATTGCTGGCTTATTTATACGAAACGCACGTCTGGCTTACTAAATTACAATTCTGGCATTTTGGTGACTATTTGCAGGCTATTTGTATTGTAGAGTCAAAATAGGGAGGTTGATGACACCTTAGAATTTGATTGAAGTCTCTTACTTATAATTTCACACATTTTCGTAACTTCAAAATAATATCCATCTTTACAATGTTATCCATCTTTACGGGTTTTTTTCTATGACGTTGTCAGTTTCTCATCTACTTATGAGTTTTGAGAATGTCCCCTTTGTATCTCCCGCCTCTTGTTTTAACAGATCTCTATTAAAAAGATAACATATTGTATCTTTTACATGCCAACTGAAGAAAACATAATTTGTTTTGGTGGAAACTTATTCTTTTTTTTCATTAAGTTCTCAAGACTTGCCAAGATCTATCAAAATTACAGTTTGCCATTTATAAGTTATTCAATCTTCAGAAATACGACCAAAACCTACAAAATACACACACGAAGCTTGGATATTCTTAATTTTAGTTAATATTGAAATATATTTTAAATAATAGTTTTGATATGGAATTCATTCAGGAAAATTGGCTGCACTTCTTTGACGGTCTACTTCCAAGGGGTAAATATATAAATAGATTCAAAGCATGCTTTTATGGCCTAAAAGCGTACGATGTATACCTCATTATCAACCAGTTCATTAAGTATAACAAGTTCGTTGAAGTTACATATTCATATGAATTTAGATATATGTTTCTTGAAGTTTTACTGGAAAAACTGTTATAGATTATGGTCGTTAAAAGCTGTCAAAATATATTAAACAAAGTATTTAATTGCCTTTTTGTGTTCGTTAAAATGTATTTGTTCTATGTATACTATTTTGTCTGTTCGGCCGTAGTGTTGTATATTTATGTCACATGGTTCTGGATCTCCATATCTCAACACTTTTTTGGTATTCCACTGTTCATGTAATCTGATAATTGGGACAAGAAAAAAGCTGTTGAAGCATGTTTGGTATTTCTTCGGTGTATCATTTCAGGAAGCAGTCAATTTTGCATATTCGAAATCTTCATCTTCTGCACAGAGACGGTACCAAGCAACAACTGAACCCATAAAGTTCCTAGACGATGTCAATGCTTCTACGTTTGACCAGTGGAATCAAGCTACTTTACAGCTGACTTATAACAACACAGGTCTTTTTGTGGGAGCAACAAGATTTCGTACAAACAAACCTAACTCAGACCAAAGTATAGGTGAGCAAGATGACTGTACGTTGCTATCCCCGTATAGAGCAATGGAATGGATATATATTGATGCTCTTAGATATACGAAACCACAGATAACCAAAGGGATATCATGATAAATATAAAAAAATCCATTATATACTTGTTTGTGTTTTTTTGTTTAAATAATGTGAAGACGTAGTATTTCAAGCACTTGAAATAAAGCCATAAAACGAATAGGAACATTAAGATGTTCATTGGAAATTATTTTCAAGTACATTATATTTCTCTTAGCACTGTAATATTAAATGCTAAAACATACATTTGATGCATCAGAAACGGCGACATATTCTATGGTTCACTGAAGTATCGGACTAACACTAGACTTATGTATGTGGCTATGGAATATGCTTTACATTTTAGTTATTTTATCAGTTTAGATATTTTACCGGTAATTGGGGGATGTAAAACATAGTCCAGTGCCTTTTCAAATGACTTATATGTTAGTACGAAAAATCTGATACTTATTTGAAGTATAACTTGATATGTTGTTTTCTGGTGCCTCTATAGCGAAAAAACTTAAGAAGTCTTAAACACAGTGAAACTTTTATTATCAAAATCTGCTAAAGGTAAGCATGGGTCTTATATAAATTTATTAAGTTATGATAAACTGAAAATTCCGACTTAGTTAATATGTTACTTTACTGTTATACTGGCGCCAATCTTACCATTGGAAATAAACAGTTCATATGATACAGTATCAACATATTGATGTATTCTATATGCCTTTCCGGTGGGTTTTTTTTTCTTCTTGTTTTTTCTTCATTTTGTAACCAGACTGTCAGAAGGGCTTCGTTCCAAAATTCCAAAAAACATAGTTTAATACAAATAAAAACACATATTTGTCGAGTGTTTTTTTAAGCCGTTATTATTAAAATATCGCTTTTACCATAAGTTAAAACGTAAATGTAAAAAAGTTAAGAGATATTTTTTATTTTATTTTTTCATACATGTGTAAATGTATTATATCAATCGCAATTAGAATTCGAATGCAACGGTCAGCCCATATAAAAATAAGGAGGTGTGGTATGATTGCCAATGAGACAACTATCCACCAAAGTTCAAATGAAGTGGATGTAAGCAATAATAAGCAACCGTACGGCCTTCGACAATGAAAAAAAACCACACCGTATTGTCGGCTATAAGAAGCCCCGACATTAAAACTATGAAAAAATTCAATTGAGAAAACTAACGGCCTAATTTATCACAAAACAATTTACGAAAAACAAATATGACAGACATGAACCAACGACAACCACTGAACAACGGGCTCCTGATTTGGGACACGCACATAAAGAATGTGGCTGGGTTTAACATGTTTGTGAGCGCTTAACCCTCCCCGAACCTGGAACAGTGGTGTAACAGTACAACATAAGAACAAACTATAAAAATCAGTTGAAAAAGACTTAACTCATCAGATCGCTACAAAGCAGGAAAACACAGATCGGACGTGGCAGGGTATTCATCCATCCCTCATCCCTAACAATAAAAAAGACATTCAGTACAGATCTGAGAGTAATCGCAGTTACTGACAGCTAGTCAAAGCCAATAACTAATAAAAAAATCATGTATCTAAGACTCAAATATCAAGCAGAACACATCCAGCACCCAATGGATTTCGTGTAAAGACCTCATTAACAATCAGAGAAAAACATGACCTTATGCAATGTGAAAATAAAGGTATCGACAGATTGTAGTATCGTGAAAGTACATTTGTGTATAACAATATATTTAGTATGGTTTTAATTTACTGATAACAAACTCAATATTTATACCAATAAAAACAATATTCAAAGATTTAATTACAGTGTTGAAATGGTAACCTTTTAGAATAAGTTTATCTAAATGATTGATAAGTTTACCCGGATCGTATCTTAATTTCTGGGCTCGGTTAACAACATCACCGTAAACTTTAGGATGTGCTATTCATTTGAAATAAGTTTTATAATAAGGTACAGCCAAACTATCAAACCAAATCTTTGTATCTATGAAAGAATTTAGTAAAGATTTTAAGTAATTTGTGGTAGCGAAATCCCTGACTTAATATTTTACTAGTAATACATAGATTACACTCATTGAAATCCAAAACCTTCACGACTGACATGGGCAAAGCGAACGAATTGAGATATATAAACACCGTAAGACGGTGCCAAAGGAACATCACCATCCAAAAAAGGAAAATTAATAATAGGGAAAGAAAAATCATCCCTTTTGTCGTAAATTTTTATGTCGAATTCATGTTGTAAAACTGAAAATGAAATGGCTCAATCTAGGAAAGGACACTTATTGCTGTTAATATAAGGTAAGTTCCTTTGTGTAAATTTCGGCAGTATATTAAGATAATTCTTGATTATTTAACGAAAAAATATCATCAAGTTAACGGTGAGTGTTGCTGAATTTATCAATCAAATGGAATCAAGACGGGTCTTTACTGAGTTTGGCCATAACTGTGATTCATAATAGTACAGGTACAAGTCTGTTATTAAAGGGACACAATTTGTGTCCATAGTAATACCTTTAATCTGTTGATAAACTTTATTGCAGCAACGTACACAAATGTTGTCAAGAAAAAAATGTATGGCTTTAATCATCTCATCACACCTCCAGTAAGTATATCTATAAAAAGAAGATGTGGTATGATTGCCAATGAGACAACTCCCCACACGAGACCAAATGACACAGAAATTAACAACTATAGGTCACAGTACGGCCTTCAACAATGAGCAAAGCCCATACCGCATAGTCAGCTATAAAAGGCCGGGAATTAACAAATGTAAAACAATTCAAACGAGAAAACTAACGGCCTAATTTATGTACAAAATAATGAACGAAAAACAAATAAGTAACACAGCAACAAACGACAACCACTGAATTACAGGCTCCTGACTTTGGACAGACACATACAGAACGTGGCGGGGTTTAACATGTTTGAAGGCGCCAACCCTCCCCAACCTGGGACAGTGGTGTAACAGTACAACATAAGAACAAACTGCGTTGAAACCCATTGGGGGCCTTCGGCTGTTGTCTGCTCTTTGGTCGGGTTGTTGTCTCTTTGACATATTCCCCATTTCCATTCTCAATTTTAAACTATAAAAATCAGCATATTTACCTTTCTCATTTGAGAAAAAGGCTTTATATGAGTTACAGCAAATATATTTGCAACCAGATTTATCAAACGACCATTTAATTAAATAGGAAACCTTTTGTTTGATAAGATTGTGTGGAAGTGTAGTATAAAGAGTGGAAAAGTCAAAACTGTCAACCGAATCAAAAGGACCATCAAAAGCACGTAATTTATCTAAAACATCCAAAGATTTTTTTACACTCCAAAAATGGTTAATTCCACTATTTTCGTATGTTATATTACAAAAAATAGTAATGAGTTCTTTGATAGTAGTTAAGAAACTCGTTAAAAGCACTAACATATTAGTAGTAGAACACTAACTAGAGGCCGAGATGAAACGATATTTTACGTTTTTTTTGTGTGTAGTTTATGCAATCAATACATAGTTGGGACCTTCAAATGTTCAGAGGAGGCCTAAGCTGATGAGCTGTGTTGGTGACTTGACTATTTACTATTTACTATATGACTCTCTGTGGAGCGTACGGCATTGCATGTAGTTGAATGTATAGTTTCATTCTTAAAAATAGCCTCTCGTCAGTGAATGTCTGTATTAGCATCTGTGTGTGTGTGTGTGTGTGTGTTTGTTCAAGATTGATCTGTAACATATACTTAATGTATTTACAATTGTTCTTGACAGGGCTATTTAGAGCTAGACATAGGGTATATACATATTGTTGTAGAACGTATATTGACCTCTAGATGTCTTTGTGATTTTATTGTGTTTGTTTGATGTCTAATTAACACACAGTCTAAATTTCCTGTGTGTTTCAAGAAAGTTGCACTTCGAAACGAATATGATGGTAATGTTAAACATATTTTTATAACGTGCGCAGTCGGAAATAGCAAATGATCATAGAATATTATCAGATGAATTAACAGTTTTTCATGTATGCAAATAGTCCGAAATTAAAAAGTGTTGAACACTCACTTAGTCATTTATTAGTCTGTTCAATTCGCCGAAAGTCACTGCAAGGTCCTTTACCATTATCACACCTCACTGCAATGTCAAGGTTCTTTACCATTGTCACACCTCACTGCAATGTCCTTTACCATTAGCACACCTCACTGCAAGGTCCTTTACCATTATCACACCTCACTGCAAGGTCCTTTGCCATTAGCACATCTCACTGCAAGGTCCTTTACCATTATCACACCTCACTGCAAGGTCCTTTACAATTATCACACCTCACTGCAAGGTCCTTTACCATTATCACACCTCATTGCAAGTTGATGTACTCTGGCTTTTATACCAATAAGTTTGGTCCCCATGAATACAATCCGTCTTCCTTTAAACAGCATGATTGAAATAATTTATTTCGTCCATGGATTGATATATGTAGCTATTCTATTTGGTACTCATTTGTTCTTAGACTACTTCGACTGTTTTATTTAGGGTACTTCTGGTTTTGATGCTTCTATATAGGTTTTGCTTCCGATACCATTGGTCACGAGCGCAATTGCTGAAGGTTGTTATAAAAACCCATACCGTATACGTCCTGAAATCTCATTAAAACGTTTATATTGTCTGAGTGATATGGAAAAATAAAAAAAAATGTTTATCTTAATCTACGAGTAAATGCACTTATGCAGTTTGTCAAAAATGTCTACACGAACCTGGACACTTTTTATCTGTTCCATAGTTTAACAAGGAACAATATAATTCTATCTTATAATTAGTGTCATCCCGCTTATTTTCTATCATTCATTATACAACATAAACAAGTTTAAAGAAAGGAGAGAATAGGCCAAGGTTATAATCTAATACATGAAGTCAAAGAACCAGAGACCATGCCCTATCCAAAAAGAAAAACGACGAAATACCAAAAAATTATTCACAAAACAGTTTCATATATTAAATATCAAAGCGCTAAACAATTCATAAAATCTTTAAAAAAAAAGGTCAGATAGCAATCAGCTTTGTTTCTTTCATTGATTTTTGAATTTTCCATAAAAAAACTACAACAATGATGGTTACTCTGAATCAATAAATCAAACAATGATGCATGTCTGAAGAAAAAGACATGTTTTTGTTTGATGTTTTTCTTTGTATCGATCTGATGAGTTAAGTCTTTTTCGACTGATTTTTATAGTTTGTTCTTATGTTGTGCTGTTACGCCACTTTCCCAGGTTAGGGGATGGTTGAGCGCTCACAAACATGTTTAACTCCGCCACATTCTTTATGTGCCTGTCCCAAGTCAGGAGCATGTATAGTTCAGTGGTTGTCGTTGGTTCACGTCTGTCATATTTGTTTTTCGTAAATTGTTTTTTTATAAATTAGGCCGTTAGTTTTCTTAGTTGAATTGTTTCATATTTTTCATGTCGGGGCCTTTTATAGCCGACTATACGGTATGGGGTTTTCTCATTGTTGAAGGCCGTACATTTGCCTATAATTGCTTACATCCAGTTTATCTAAACGTTGGCGGATTATTGTCTCATTGGCAATCATACCACATCTCCTCATGTAAACATGATAGTTATATAGTCACCATATACCAACTAGTCCGATTAATGTTTTACTAGAAAACATCAGAAACCGTCCCCTATCATTATAAACATTACTTTATTCTATATCAAAGTACTGACATACTATTTGTTTCTCGGATAAACAAAATTCTGGTGGCTGAAGAAAAAAGGAAAGAATTGGTATTCAACTTGTTGTTTGTGTATGCACGTCCAGTGGCATCTAATTCATGCATAACCAGGACGAAAAAAATTAACGTTCACTCCCGTATTCAAATTCAAATTCCGTTGGACCGAATCAAAGTTTAGCTGATGAATTTAAAGGTTCTAGGAATTCTTAAAAATTAAGTTTGCAAAGATTTGGCATAAAATTGTACCTAAGTGGCATTATTAATCAATAATAAGAAAACAGCGTTTGGTATATTTATAAGGTTCCACGGTTCGATAGTATATAGTGGAAAATTACAGTAACAACGGTACAGTACTTCATACATGTGCATGCATATAATATCACGTGATATTGAGATTAAGCGGGAATATATTCTCTTGTTGGTCACTTTTAAGTTTCAGCAACAAAAAAATCAGTCTGGACAACTGTGACATATGGCGGACACCGGATTAGATAATTCCGTTAAACAGAGTACATAATATGGATAACAATATAAAAATAAGAAGATGTGGTATGATTGCCCATGAAACAACTTTCCACCAGAAACCAAAATGACATTTAAGTTGATAACTATAGGTCACAGTACGGCCTTCAGCAATTAGCAAAACCCATCGCGCATAGCAAACTGTAAAAGCTACCGACATGACAAATGCTATACAATTCAAACGAGAAACTAACGACGGCCTGATTTATGTGCAAAGCAAGAAACCAAAAACAAATTTGATAAATACGCGATATAAGTTAAGTCCCAAAAACTGAAGAAAGATATTTATACGTTTTATATTTTGCAAAGGGAACAAAAACCAAAACAGACATGAAGTCAAAGTTATATATAATTAAGTTGACCATCGTTAACGCGAAGTTAGACGGTCCAGGTGTATCGGTATAATCAATCCATCAAGCATAAGAAAAGACTGTTGAAGCTATAAATATTGCTGCAGACAAGACGATGGCTAATAAAACTTCTGGTCTTGTTGGGCTATCGGCTAAAGAGAGTGGAGTATTTTATTGATATGCACTTAGAATAGATTGATACATATTGAATCTACCGACTATACACGCATTTATCCTGCAATCAGTCAACTATTGTACAAATAACAAGTATACAAATAATTTTTTGCTTTATTTACACTTGTACACTGTAAAAACAGTGTTTAGATTCTAAACACAAATCTAAACACTTTTTCTGTGTACGTTTTGAAACACGTTTAGCATCTAAACATGTTTAGATTTTAACAAGTGTTTAGATTCCAACAAGTGTTTAGATGTCAGATGTTTAGACCTTCTGTTAGGCTACTAGTACTATGATTTTACAGGAACTACTAGTGGTACAGCACTACAGATTGGATACTAATAGTGCATTGTATAATATTGTAGAATATACAATTCAAGTGTACAAATCTGCTTAAATGTCCTTGTAATTATTTTTACCATCATTTGTCCTCGTCAATACAAAATACTAAAGCTAGAAAACTGCAGTAATGATAATAATAACAATAATAATAGGGTTACACATTTTTAATTTTTATTCTTCCTGGAGGCCTAAGAAAAGTCTGTAAACCATAAGACCAAGTTTAACCCACCATTATTTTTAAAGGAAAATGCCTGTACGAAGTCAGGAATATAACAGGTTTGCTTCCATTTGTTCTGTTGGTTTATGTAGTCAAGCGTTTGATTTTGTCAGGTTTTATGGACCTTTACCTTTTTAAATACAATATGGAGGTTGGATCTTTTATTTTGTTTTTTTATTCCAGACTTGAGGATAACATACAATCTTTTCAAATTATTTCAATATTTTATTTAAAAGTCTCACTTAAAGCAAACAAAAAATACAATTATAAATCTTGATATAATCTGTACAGATTTATGAGAGACAATAACAAGTTTACATTATTTTCCCTTGAAAAATTATAACATTTTCATCACCAATTTCATAAGTGTTAATAGATTTAATAAAGAGAATTTGCCATATATAGTCATTAACAGGAAAATGTAAAATCACATGAATTTTATCCTCAACAAAACAGAAATTGTCAGTCCATCTCCTATCATACAGGAATTGTTCATTACGGAACTATCTTCTTTTGAATGATAAAGGCTCTTGGTGGGCAGTTCTTTTTGGTTGTCAGGTGAACTTTTGTAAACTGAAACGAAAAAATGAAACCTTCAAGTACATGTACATTTGTAGTGCGACAGTCACTTATTCTTATATTAAAATACATTAAACAAGGTTCTCAAAAGATTCTTGCAAAAGAAAAATACAAATTGTAGTTAAAAAGACAAAACTTTAAACCATGTACACATCAATAGACAAATAAATCAAAGGGAACAATATAGCATGTAAGTTTTTTTATATTTTTAAAACAAAATCCTCGATTTCTGAGAGCTACAGTCTTTTCTCTTATTTGTAATATATTTTTTTTAGAATTACCAATTTTTCTATTTTAAACAGGATATATACTAGAGTATGAATTAACCTTCATTTTTCAATCATATTACAATGTATTATAGTTCTATTGGATACTTAATAATATACTTATATATTTTTACTTACATCTGCTTTTGAAATTAAGTCATCCTTTTCTTTCTTCATTGTTTTATATCTGATCTTTTCTTCGATTTGATCTATATTCTAGGGATTTCATTCCCACTACTGTGTCACAGTCCTATAAATACATACAAACAAATTATTAAATTTATTTAAAGGTTTAAATAAAATATATTAATAACTTGTCGGTTAATTTTTGACTTAGGAGTTTGAATGATCCTTTGGTATTGTCAGTTTATTTTCAACTTATGATTTTGAATGTTCTTTTGGTATTCTTAGTTTCTCTTTGACAAATGTATTGTAACTATAATTTCAGTGTTTATATGTGTAAAAGATGTTGCACTATGGGCCATTGGGATCTTATTTCTTGCAAAGTAAAATACATGAAACTATGATTTTATGTACAGGGACGAATACTGTTACCTATACAGAATGTAAATAAAAACTCAATGATGTTTCACAAACAAAACCAAAGATTCATACATTAATAAAATGTGTGCATAGACATGATAGACTGACTGTTTCTTCTGAAAATTCAGTGAACTACAACGGTACTACTATAGTCCAATTAATTATGACATCTTGAAAGACTATTTTATTTTTTTGCTCTGAAGTCTTACAGCGACGTCACAAAGCATTCTTAATAGCACGAAAACCCATGAGACGAGGATACAAGAACCCCCTCCCCGAATTAAAAGTTTGCTCCTATCAACAATATCAGAGTCGGAACAATGAGGGGAAGGGGGTCTGGACACCTTAAAGAGATACATATAGGTTAACAGTTTAATGCACATATTCCTAACTAAGCCTGTTTTGTGCCCCACCCCCCTTTTTACGAAATCTGGATTTGCTTACCTTCTGCTGCTGTAATAATTGTTAAGCTGGCTTTTGATTCCGTCAATATTCTAATAAGATGTTCTGTATCTGTTGCATCGTCCATAGATATATTTGCTTGGTCGACGGGATCCATTGTTTTAAATTTTGTTTGTCTTTGGCGGGTCTGAAGGCGTCTGTATCAAATTACCAAGAAAGATAACTCTGTTCGTTTAATAAAATCAGATCATAGTCGGACAACGACTCCGGAAATTAGAGAAAATATTCACTCATATCTTCCTTATAAATACTATCAAGATTCAGTAAAAAAAAGTAATTGCTTAACATATAGAAATTTTAATTGATAGCAATCTATAATCTTACAACACAAAAAAGGGCCGCGGAACTCAGTTGGGGAAGATGATATGAATTGTTCTCATAAGTAGCTCATACTAGGAACATATATTGACTCATACTTGGGACTGATTTGTAAATATAATTATCTGTTCCATAATTTTCATTTCAATAAAACCGAGATAGTGTCACAGAATACGTTGGAAAATAAAGGAACATCGAGTAAAAAGGTGAAATCAGTAATGAAGTGGTATAATGTGTTTAGGTGTTTAAGAAAGTGTTTCAGAAGTGTTTAGATGCTACTTAATGTTTAGCTTACTGATAACATTCACAGATAATAAAACTGCAACACGTTTAAATTCTAAACATGTTTAGGTTTCAATGTGTTTACGTGAATATCCGTTTAGATCCTAAACGCTTTCCTAAACACGTTTAGATCTAAACATGTTGTAGATGTGTTTCAATTCTAAACGCCGTTTTTACAGTGTACAAATAAAGTCTCCTGTTATACCACTTACATGTTGAGCAAGCGTTAATGTGAATATTTCTTTTTGCGTGACATTTCATTTGGGGTTCCTTTTCGTGGTCCGCGTTAAAACTATGTCGACTTCTTTAAAAAAAAACAGAGACAACTGTTTGGATTTAAACAACTAATGCTTCAAGTGCTTGGTGTAAATTGCAGGATAAAAACAATATATGTACATTGTCGGAAATATAAAAGCTATTTGTACTCGCTACGAATTCTAAAGTTCTTACATATAAATTTTATATTTTCATTTCTTCTGTAAAGTTATGTTAGGTTAGCTTGTGTATTGCATACATATGAGGCACATAAATATCCATTTTATGTATATACAGTGTGTATTTGAGGTTTTATTAATGCCTCCATAGTACAAAAATATTGGATGTAATAAAAATGTTCATTTCAGTCGTGACACAGTTTTATATAAATTCTTAAAGTTAGAAATATGATTTCAAAATCTTTTATATAAATATGTGTTTTATATAAATGCATATATGTATTTGTTATTAAATCAATAAACGAAATGCATATATGTATTTGTTATTAAATCAATAAACGTTAACTACTAGTATCAAATATTAACGTTTTGTGAAGTCGGTATGTATTCGTCTTCATCCACATACAAGTGACATGGTAAAGTCCTTTTTCTAATAAGCTTTCTGAAATCATTTCAGGATGATTGACAGCATTCAATACTCGAATAACTTCAAAAGAATTTCATGGACTTTTTTGCACCCGCTAGCACTGATTTATAAATTTTTGTATCTCGAAAACATGTTATATTTTTTTTTTAAATCCTCTTTGCATTCACTTTAGCATGTACGAGTATATAACATGACCTTTTCTTCCCGCGTGTAAATCTAAATCTACCCACAGCTAAAAAAATATCTTTATGAAAATGCCATTGGATTTTTATCTCAGAAAGACAATGCGCTTCACAAGGAGTATATTTCGCGACCGCTCAAATCATCTTGGTGTTTTGACGAATGGGCAAATTAGAAAGAACTACTGCAATTATTGCGATTTTTGAAGAATGAACATAAATGCGAGATTAATTATTGCGAATTTAGGAAAAGCTGCATACAGATATATGCATCAGATACCAGAATGCGAGTTTTTATTATTGCGATACTCACCCAGTCACATTATTCGCAGTAATAATCAAAGTACTGAAGTACTGAACATTGAATGACCGCAAGTTTTGGTGGATAGACACAGGCACTTGTCTCAGAAAAAATAAAATACCTCTATACCTGAAAGTTAGGTTAAGGTACATAGCTTTTTTTCTGAGACAAGTTCCAGTGTGGATGATGAATAAATGACAGAGAATTCAATCTCACCGTAATAATTATTATATTGTTGTGATATAATCATGGGACAATCATTTGTTATCAGTATAATCTGGTTTGTTGTTATATCATTATATTAACATTTGTACAACAGTCATATATATAGCAGATCCTCTTAATAACTCTACCGGCAAATTTTCATCCATGTATACCATCATTCTATTCTATTATTCTAATGATAGTGCAGTTCAAGTGCATGGTGGACACTCTTCTGTAATAATTCGTTTTTCTAATAGGTCATTCATATTTCTCCCGCTAATGAATATGTAATGATGAAATTAATATATAACAAGCGATAAGAGATATTCATCCACAAACACAATTTTTCGGTACGTGTGCATAGATATATTAATGATTTTTTTACTTATATATATATATTTCTCACGACAAAACATTTTCATATTATTTATTTATGTTCTTAAAAAATATTTTCATGAGTATTCATTGAAGAAATGAATTTATAACAAGCGATATGGAATGTTATTTTGCACTCGATAATATCCGCGTATTTATACGAAATACGTTCGGTTATCAGTCAAAAAACGCAAGACACGTGAGTAGAAATGTCTACGGCAACATAACACCGGAATGCCCTCAAGGTCATCCGCTGTAAAAACCTCGTAATAGTTTCTGAATTAACAGTATTGATTTGGCGGGGTAGGATCAAAACCATTGTCCAAAGTCGGGAATATCGTCAGTTGTTGTCTTTAAAATTTGTTAAATCTTAATGTTTCATTATTTGGATAATTTGGTGTTGATAGAAGATCTTTGATATTTTCTGTTGAATCCGAACCGTTTAATACAGTACTGTAGAGCGCGACATATATAGTGATTAGACATCTGTCTATTGTTATTGTGTACTATAGATTTTGTTTGTTATTCGTTGTGTTGTGTAGATGTCTTTTTGAAGTTTGCCTAACACCTCTTTTAATTCATAATTAGTATGATGGTTGTCGACAGCATGAATAATTGATTTAAAGATAAGGTCAAGGTCAAAATATTATTTAATAGTTAGATAATCAGTTGTAAGAGGTAGTAATGTAACTAACAGATTGTGTTTGGGACATTTGATGAGTTTTTACATTACAACAAAATGCAACACATAAGGGTTAATTAAACTTGTTTTAACTGAAATCTCAATCTTTTTTCATCTCGATCAGTGGACTAATAATAGGTACATATAAGTATAATATACAATTACAAATCAATCAAGGAAAATCACTTAACTCAATAATAACGGTATAGTAGATAACAAAATTACAAGTACAGCTGAGTCAATAATAAACAGTACCATGATAAAATATGCTAGAAGTAGCTGTACGAAAGCTGAAAGTACTTAACCTGCTGATATGAAATCGTGCTATCCTTCACTCTAATATCGGTGGTTGTATTTCACTGTAGATTTCAAACAGAAAAGTTACAATCAGTACAGGAAGTCAATACATTGTGTAATGCCAATAACGAACCTCTACAAAATGTCCTTGAAGGAAACGAATATTCTATTCTGGCTTCAAACTATAAAATAGTGACTTGAAATTCAGAACCCCTCCTACTTAAAAAAAAATGAAAAAGAAAAAAAAATTCCCACTGAGAGCGTAATAACAACCCATTATCATTAACGATTCCGGCGTTGCAAGTGAATCAGGGCACACACATAAAAGTGAGTTTATTCCCTGCAAAGTAGCCAATATTGCTGCTCGATTTTTAGGGTTCTTGTCTCATTAGAATGTATTTCAAATTTCAAATTTATTTGCTTATGTTACTTTCCTACCATGCAAGTTCTAAGACAAAAAAAAGCAAATTATACCAAAAAAAATCCATATTTTTCTTCACATGAATGTATATTTGATTGTTTGATTAAAAAGAGATTTGGGGAAAGGGTCAATGAGACAGTGACCCAACAACTCAAATACCAAATTACATTTAGATTTCATATCATCTTGTCTTCAACAATAGACAGGTATCTATGCATAAATTCCATTTTAATGATATAAAAGTGTTTTTACGGTACACACAGTGAAGTTCTAGGTGAAAAAAAAATACCACAAAACGTCGAAATAAGCATTGTAACCCGTATAAAATGTTTTTTTTTTACTTTTTGCACTACCAACTAGGTAACAGGTTGGAAAATACACTAAAAACGAAGTCGCCGACACTATCATTATTTTTACATCAATCAAACGGAAATTTATTATCAAAAACAGTATAGTAATATTAAGCAAACTCTATGCATCTGTACTTGGAGATTTTAAGTAAAAAAGGATCAACGTTTTTACCGATTTCAATTTCAGGTTTGCGCTGTTTTGAATACATAATTTGATGAATATAAAATTAAGTGTATAGCATATACAACTCCGGCTTTCCCCACGGTCGTCCTCGAAACAAGAATAAAAGCCGATTTTTATCATTAAAAATAAATATAAGAATCAGTTGTGACCGACAACGTGGTGTCATACAGCAGACAATATCTAACAAATCTGAAAACATAAAATACGTTACAGTGTGCTTCTATCATTTAGTGTCTAATTTTGAATTACTAATTCCTGTCGAACGTCGGGTAATCCGGCTTTTTAGATTAATTAAAAGTGGCCTCCATGATATACCCAAGATTGTTAAATGTTGCATTAACACTAACAATAAATCAGTCAACTATTCAAGTTACCATTGTTATTATGCAGATTGAAAGTTTCAGTATAAAATTACACAGACAATGTTGAATTACCTCCCCTACATCATGAAATCCTTCCAACAAATATTTCAGTAGGACTTACACAAATAAAAGTCTAAAGGAGGTCGAGATCAAGCTCATTACGAATTGTGTTAATTTTTATTTCCAGCAAAACACACCAAATACATATTCGCCATTTTCGTATAAGAACTCAAAATATAAAATATTCTTCTTAACAGAAAAAACATATATCAACATTTATTGAAATAGGACTAAACATGAAAATAGTACAAACATCAGAGGCCATCGCCATGAATCTGTTTTTACACACTGATGTGAAAATAAGATAATAAATTCTTTATTCAAATTAAAATATGTACATGTACCAAGATCTATGTGGAAACGTATAATCTTTCTTAGATATAAATGTTATGTCTTCCGTATAACAATATTTTAAATGTAGTACACATAAAAAAAGGTTTTGTTTGTAGTTCCATGGTTTAATTTGCTGTTACTCTTCTTGGACCCTTATTGGTTATATGAAGAAAAAAAAATACACAAAAAAAAAACGAGTATTGTTATCCATTGTAAAAACCAAAAATTGTGGGTTTTTTTTTCATCTACATAATTGATGAAGTTGTTAAAAAAATCAACATCGTTGAAACTTATTATACGTATTTAATAGGACTATCCGAATAATAATGTCTTTTTTGGAAGAGGTATGTTGATCGGTTGCTTTCGCATTTACGCATTCCTCATGATCAGATCTCCTGTTTCACACACATAAAAATAAATATATAATAGCATTTATCAAGAGGTTTTACATGGAAACGAACAATTATGTGCACGCTTTAAGGTGACAGAGAATTAAAATTAATTTAGAAAAAATATGCGCATAAAGTTAGCTATGACCTTTGTGTACCGAGAATTTTCTTGTTGCAAATACATATATTAAAATCAAATGATTTTATTGAGATTTTATAATAGATGCAAAGAAATTATATAAAAAAGGTACTGATGCACGTTTCTAATCATGCCTTGACACAAAAATTATCTCATAAATCCCTTTAAACTATAATGTTAAAATCTAGTTATTGGTCTATGTAATGATCTTGTGAGGGACTAAATATAAACATTTTCTAACTTAACATTTTAACAATAAACATATAAAAATTTGACACTGGCCGGCTGTTTCTTGACATTGATTATCTTCAAACAATACTTCAAACAACATATTTCATTTTATTATCGTTTGTTCTTGATCTTCCTTGTTTGGTATTATAAACAATATGATTGGATTAGAAAAGTATAGTCATTAGCATTACGAAAATCTAGTCCAATCCGGTCAAAGTTTATTGTTCTGGTTTATATTCATCAGATTGTTTGTTTGTTGTTTTATTATTTTGTTATACACCTGTATGTTTTTTGCATTGACAAATAGCGTTGTCATTGCATGGGGAAAATATGGCAATTAAAATATAACTAAAGTTCCCCGGTACTGCAAACAGTATAATACTTGAAAATGACGATACTATCGGTATAGGTGAATATCCATAAATCACGAATAACTGGTTAAGACTGTACTTCTAATACAAATAGAGTATCAGTAGGCCGACAACAAAATAGAATTTAAACAATGACAAATATTATAGCAAATAATAAATGTTGTCCAACCGTCAATGAAGAGAAAGTAGGTTTATTATATCCTGTCCAATCGTCAACAAAGAGAAACTAGTTTAAATATATCCTGTCAAACCTTCAATGTAGACAATTAGGTTTGTTATATCCTGCTCAACCGTCAATGTAGACAAACTAGGTTTATCATATTCTGTTCAACCTTCAATATAGACAAACTATAGGTTTATAATATCCTGTGCAATCGCCAATGAAGACAGACTAGGTTTATTTTATTCTGCCCAATCGTCAATGTAAAGAAAGTGGATTAATCATATCCTGCCCAAACGTCAATGAAGACCAACTAGGTTTATCATGCATATCCTGTCCAACCGTCAATGTAGAGAAACTAGGTTTATTACATTTAGTCCAACCGTCAATGTAGACAAACTAGGTGTATGTTACCCTGTTAAGTCGTCAATGTAGACAAACTAGGTTTATTGCATTCTGTCTAACCGTCAATGTAGAAAAACTAGGTTTATTACATCCTGTCCAACCGTCAATATAGACAAACAAGGTTTATTATATCCTGTCGAGCTGTCAATGTAGACACACTATATTTAGCAGATCATGTCTAACCGTGAATATGAATCATATCCCACCGTCAATGCAGACAAACTAGGTTTACGGTTATACTAATTTTAGCCCTGCTGTCCCTATTAAAGTGAGCCATCGAAAACTTGATAAATGAAAACTTTGAACAAAAAGCTTATCAGAGTCATATGTTGTTGCTATTTCAGTTTGGGTTATTATTTTTTTTTTTTGGCGATTAGCGGCAAAGAATGGTTTTACAAAACAAGAGTATAAAGTCTTACAAAGAGCATATAGGGGCTTTAAAAGATTCTAACATAAATATTGTAAAGCCTTTTCAGTATTGTTGTTTTGAGAAGAAAATAAGAAAACGTGCATGCTTTCTTTCCTGTAGATGAAAATAAATTCTTTTTTTCTCAACGTACTAAATTTCTCTTTCGTGCCATTTGTCAACAATAATTTTCTTCTATTTTCCAATAGAATCATCCCTCTTATCCATCCTTTTTATCCATTTTTTTTCTCCTTTCATCGTTTTTATCATGTGCTTTTGATTTTTATTCAAAATCGAATCAAGTCTAAACAATTCTGTTTTACGAATTCCAGTCAAAGTATTTCAAGTTTCAAAAGACTTAGGATGAAATTTTATTCTATCAAAGTCCGTGAAATGTTTCCTTTGATCGTTGTCAATGTCAGAGTTCCTGCAAAAACGTTGATCAAGCTTTGATAGACTACGTGATAATAGGGTTGCATAACTGCCCTTCTTATCTAAATTTAGTCACCAATTTTCTGCTTCCATTTTAAGTTAATCATAGGATAGCATCAAAATGTTTGAATAGAAAGATTTAACAAAAGAAAATAAGAAAAAACGGATAGATAAATGTTTAACAAATGCAGATTTTGCAATCGAATGGTATATACTATTTAAAGTTTTTAAAGAAGATATATGGTCTAAAAGTTGAATAAAATTGGTTTTTAATATAGTCGGAGAGGGTTTCGTATATATTGTTTTGGTAGATTAGATATCGAAGTTCATAACAACGAAAAAAATGCCCGCATAGATCATATTATATTCCCTCACTATGAAAGAGCTTTCTTTTTACATTTTTTTGTTGAATATAAGACATAAAATCTAAAAACAAATGAGTATATAAAGTGGCCGAAATAGTTTAAGAGGACATGATAATCGCATGAATTTCTCCAAATATTCTACTATATTTATAATTTACTCAATAAAAAACCGCATGAAAAAATAAGTGCACGTGTCAAACAAAAAGTGGATCTCCAATGAATTATTCGATACAAATACAATTATTAGCTGCAGAATACATATTTCATCTTTTCACATGAGAAAAGTGATGCTAACACAAAACAATAAGCATCGTTTCTGCTGTAACTTAATAGTTGTTTATGGGATTTCGTCTGTCTAGTAACTGCAAATGAATAACGAGGTGCTAAAACGAATTCACAAAAGGGTGTTAAATTTCTACCATAATGTATGTTAAAATCCAATTAAGTCAAAACAGATAATCTCTTCAAAAGACGATCACGATCAATTATTTTATTATTTTCTGGAATACTGAATTCACCATTAAGTACTTAACAGCAACTTCCTTTGAGGGATGAATTATGAAACATTAACCCATAATATTATCATCTCTTTATACCAGTAATTACGTTTATTATCCCTAACCTAATAAATTATACGACATCATATAAATAATCTGATTGTATTCACTTCATTTAACAGCAATTTTATTTATTCAATGTCAGTATCAGATGAATTATTATGCAGTACTCTTTTTTCTTTGCTTCTAATTATCAAATGTGTACTGACACAAGAAGACAGCTGATTTATGCTCCAAGAGCATCTAAAAGATAATCACCATTGACGGTTTGGAAGAAACTGACCACTGTTTTTCTCCGTTGAAGGTCAATCTTCAATTGCGCTTTGTGACATCCGACAGCAGAACATGCGCCGCGGTCAGAAAGCTATCAGAAAAATCAATAACCATTCTTAATACATGGCCAATATATCGCCGATCGTATTACCGTTGTGCCAAGAGCAAGGAAGAGAGATATATTGATCGATAGGTGGAGGGGGAGACGATTTCGTAATTTCATTTGTTTTTTTCTTTATCAGTTTTCCTTGTAATTCACCGTATGCTTTCTTCCTCCAAGGAAATTTATCAAGATGCGGAAATATAGGCTTATCATTAATTATTAGATTCTTTGCTAACCAGAGTCGATACATTTGTTTACATTATCATGTAGAAAGATTCACTTTAACGCTATGAATTGCAGCTGACAAATTTTCTCAATCGCAGATCAACATGTTGCTTCTGATGAGCATGCGCAGTTGATACGAGAGTTACATAGAATATTGGAAAGATGGCGGAGATGTAAAGAATCTAACAATTTATAGCATTTATATAAGATTATGAAATCGACGGATTAATTACTCGGATTATGCGGACTATATGCGGATGGTTTTTGAGGAGATAATCTGCACATTTAGTTATGTCGTTAGCAGATTTCCTGTATTTCTCACACTCTTATGATTTTTTCAAAGTGTGTGGAATAGTGGAATCAACAGGCGTGTGTAAGGTAGTGAAATGCCTTAGTATTCTTATGTGGTCATTATTAAGCCAAACATTACGCAGTATAAATACCAAGTTTCCTCTAGGATAGCCGGATTATCCTTAAAACACATTTTAATGTTTTTCCAACGCTTTCCGTTATTTCAACCTTTTTCTGAACTATGGTAACTATCCTTGGTCATGAGGTCTTGCTATTTGAAAAGCCGAGATTGTGTAAACAAGGTATCCTTATTACCATTGTTTACTTTCTGATGTTTATTATAAAAGAGTGTTTGTGTATAGAATTAAGTTGTTCACAAAAATTCCCATGGATGGATTTACCGTTTAATTCGTGTACTACTACAAATTTTTCTTTTGTACGAAATCAGTGCCTTGTTTTGCGACATAATTTCAGTGAAAAAATATGTAAATTGCCAATTCAAAGCGAACAAAGAACGAGAGAGTTAAGAAAAAGTATTTTTTTGAATTTTTGTAATCAATATAATTTAGCTGAAGTGATGTCAGAAAGTGATATATTAACACATATAGAGGGTAGAAATTGTGTGGAGTTTTTAAGGAAAATTGAGTGTCGCGATTCGCTGGCTGAAGCGATGTACAATCAATTTGCTGATTTGTTGACCCGCATGGACTGTCAAAAGCCTTATTCTGTCAGCTGGAATTGTACAAACTGTTTGGTAAGTTGCTTTATGTTGTATTTAGCGGATAAGATCCTGTTATATTATTACATGCAGATATGTAAGAAAAGAACGAACTTTCATAGAAAATTGTTCTGTTTTTAGATATACATTTTGTTTTATTTTGCATATAATATTGAGTTAATAAACAAATCTGCATATCTGGTCAAAATGAACTATACAAATTACTCCATACAAATAACATACCTCACCTTCCTATTAAATAATACAACTTTTTAATTATACGCATGTGTTTCTGTCAAACGCGGTTTTTATATCAAAATGTGTCTACATCCAAGTACCCATAGTCCGAACAAACAATAGTTTACGTACTATGTATCTACTGAAAAACTGGTTGAAATTTCTAATAGGGTTTACACGTAGTACTCAATCTTACTTCATAAAGCACAGATCATTGTATTGACTTTTGAAAGAACCTACTAGTATAATAATTAAACAGATAATTTGGTTTTAAATCCAATCATGATTGCACACCATCGTCAAAGTACAGTTTCCACCAAAGTTGTCATTGAAGTCAATATTATAATGTTGATAATTTGACATTGTTAAGACATTTGTTTTAAAATAGCTCATTACCAATAAGCATCATTATAAATTGCATCTTTTAATTAGAACTATTCTATGTTATAATTTTTGTTCTTGTTTCGGTAATAAAAAATGAATCCTTATAAGCTTCAGAAACGTTAGACTTCAAATCCCTGTGGACAATAAATAAGATTATGATATCTGCCTTTATGTTGCAACAACATAGAATTTAAAACAACGATTCAGTAGTGGGTGTTAATCCGGTTGCAGTAGCTTTATGGATGCACTTAGGTGACATCCTGCTATAAGCCACAATTTATGGAGTTTAAGCAATTTGTAAAGTATGTCTTGTAGGTAGATATTTAAGCATCTACCCTAGCCAAGGGAACGATCTAATCCACTTTTTTGTTTCAGAAATCTAACATTATAAAGTTCGAAACGCAAAAATTTCATAAACGATAGATAGAACTCGTAAAATGTCAGGACGAACAGACATGGTATCCCTATCTTTAATTACCAGAATTGCACAAAAGTTTTATTATTCTCTAGATTCTACTAAATATTTTCCATCCCAAAGAGTCTCATTGCGCTCCTCTTCGGCTTACATGGAAAACCACAACACAATCATCAATTTCTTTCACATCCTAAAGTGCAGACGAATTCTATCTCTAATGTTCTTCAGCTATAAGACATGCAATATGTAATCCTGATTATCAGTAGATTGGATAATTGGCTAGTACACCTGCAATAAGTATGCATTATCTGCAAAATTCTGTGATTCATCTCAGTTTTTACTTGTTAAATGAAAGTCATACCACAAGCTATATGTTATTTAAATGCATGGTAGAAGTATGCATTTGAAATGCGTAATATCATTATATATGCAGTAACCATGCAATTTTAAAGTTAATTGTTTTGCAACATGATACCTTAAATAACTCAGGTATATGGACAGAATGATTTAATATATATCTATTAGGCATGTTTTGGCGACAGAACAAATACAAAAACTGGCAAATCAATAAATATAACATATAATTTACACATTCTATAAGCCGGAACCATAACAGAACTGATAGCAAACTGTTGCATGCCTGAGGGCAAACATCTGATACCGTACACAGCTGGAGTGATACATGCGCTTTATAACTAATATTGATAATATGTACTAAATAAACTTATATAATACAGTAGCACACGTGGATTTTGTCATATAAACATTCAATTTATAGATTAATTCTGGTATTTTAAGAAGCTATATGTATATGAACCTGAAACAGCAATGTTGTTAATTACTGTAAACAGTGTCCTGTTCTTGGTAATTTAAGAGAATGCAATATTGATTTATTGTTGTTTTTTAACGTCTAGTGTCAAAAATGTCGTTTTTATTTAGGATAAGAAAAACTAAATAATCAATACAATAGGTAAGTTCTTCAAGATAGGTCGAAGGGCCAAAAATTTGGACTCCCACTTGAAAATGAGGTAGCCTGGGATCCTGGCTCACTGCTCGACGAAGTATTAGATTGGGCCAGGATGCCAGGCTAGAAAATGAGACCTGTACGTTCGATACGGGAACTAATTTGTGACAGGCCACCTACGAACCCCTTAGATAGATGGCATGTGTAGTTCTGACATACATCTATACCAATACTTTGTAGTTCTGTTATACAGCTATACCAATAATGTGGTTCTGATATACAGCTATGCCAATTATGTGTAGTGTTGATATTCATCTATTCCAATCACGTGCAGTTTTGATATACATTTACCAATCATGTGTAGTTATTTCATTCATCTATACCATTCGTGTGTATGATATCCATCTATATCAATCATGTGTAGTTCGATTCTGTAGCTGATAAAATAAAATTACATATAAATCCTAGATGGTGTTCAGATAAAGAAGTATGGCATTTAATTGTTTATTTGTGAAATTTTACATGACCATTATTTGTTTTCATTAGTAGTTTCTAAACATCTGAGACTGTTCTGTAAAACATACTAATTTTTATCCTTATAGACATGAATAGATAGACAGAAAAAAGTTTTATCTATTTGGCGGCTTTACGAAAACGAAAGGTTCAAAATGAGTTGGAAATGTAAAGTATTTTTTATAGGTTTGTTAAATATTGAATTTAAACTTCTAACATTTCGTGACATTAAGTAATATTATTTTAAACCTGAATATTGTATACTGGTAAATCAATAGCAAACTAGCAAATATTGAAAGGATATCAATTTCTGATCTAATGACCTATTTCAAAATGGATATAATTTATTCACATGCAATGGTATATATTGATGGGTAAAGTAAAAATAGAGAAAGTTTTTCATGTGATGTCAAGAGGAAATTGTTCATGCACTTTATTATATATAAAAACAAAGAGGTGAGGTATGCAAATGAGACAATGTATCCACCAGAGTCCAAAATGACGTGTTTCAAGCGACTATAAATCACTATAAGGCCTTCAACAATGAATAAAACTCATATCGTATAGTCAGCTATAAAAAGGCCCGGACATGACAAAATGAGAAACAATTTAAACGAAAAATCAACAGCCTGACTTATGACCAAAGAAAACCACGAAAAAAAAATATTACAAACAGCAACTTACCAACGACAACCACTGATTTACAGGCTCCTGGCTTGAATATGCATATATAGAATTTAGCGGGCTTTAACATTTTTGTGAGCGCACACAACTCTCCTAATCTGAGACAGTGAGGCATCAGTACAACTTAAGGATGTACTTAGGTGAAAATTAAAAAAATCTAGAATTTAAAATTGCTACAATAAGTCAGAAGAGCATTAGTTAAGGAACAAAATAAGCTAACAATATTGATAGGTTATGGAGCTCCTTTTCGAGATATTTTATTTTCAAAAAATTGCGGGAAAAGGCTGACTAATACTTTTACCTTATATGTGCATGGGTATTATTTGGGTCTCAAATCGAAAGAAAAGAAGTCTAGAATCTGCTTAAATTTTGGTAAATGTCAAAATGACCTTTTATGAGCTATTGAAGTCTTATATGAAAAGAAAAATGGGTGTTATGGGGCAAAATATTTAACCCTGTATCGTAGGAAAAAACAAGGAGTCCGAACATCTAATGAAATTTCTAATCCTGACCTAAGTACATCCTTAAGAACAAACTGTAAAAATTAGTTGAAAATGGCTTGACTCATCAGATTGGCACGAAGCAAAAGCAAAAAAGAAACTAACATAAAAACAAAAGATACAAAGTACCGATTTATAAGAGTTCTCGCAGTTACTGAAAGCTAGTTCAAAGCCAATAACAACTAATTAATAAATAATGTTCTCCCATGCAGACTAAAGTATCAATTACTTTACAGTCTTGTGCAAGTAAAAATTCCATTCGTGTGTCCTACTCTTTGCAATCTTGTATATTTGAGATACATATCTGCAGAAAAGTAAAGCAATTGAATGTTGTCAATCTTATACTGTTAGGAAAAATGTCAAAAGTTCAATGCCAGATTAAATCATTTTCTTGGTAACTGCCTCGAGATAACAACTTCTTATTTTTAGTATACAGTACTCGTTTGAAGTTGTATCTTCAAAGCAAAACCTTAATGCAAGTCGAAATTCAAGAACTAAATCATTTCCCTTTTCCTTAAGTATAAAAACATTGATCACTCAGAATACAATAAAATAAAAATGATAAGATGATTTGATCAACGTAAGGAAACTATTGTTTTCTCTTTTTCATTGTGTCGAATTTTAATTATTTCTCATTTTTTGGTAAAGTATGGTGATGTTGGGCGGGCGGGCGAGGAAGAACGGTTACCAAATTTGTGTAACCAACTCTTTCTACAGTGTTTAACCCAGATCCCCGAAACTTCTCAGAAAGATGTTGAAGTTGTGCACCTGCTATTATGGAATTGTTTTGAGGAATTTTTACATTTTCTATTTCAAATATTTAAACTTCAGTATAGAGCATTCTCCATTGTTTAAGAAACATTTTTGCGCAACCTGGCCATTTGAGTCGTTAGTCTATTTTTTAAAGATTTTTCACATTGTATCGAGATTAATTATGTAAAAATCTGATTTAGACAAATTAATTATGTAAGAAAACTGTATTGGTTTCAGTCCCCTTGAATCGACTTCCGTGGTAAAGATATTCAATTGCATGCATCTCATTAGACATTTCAGTTTCATTTTAAAAACAAAACATTTGAAAGTTGACATTATAGAGGATTACCACTAAGAATTCTGAATATATTAACTTTGCCAATTGGATTGATTTGTTGTTTGACACACAGTTTAACTGTTATACCAATACTTCAAATCTTCGAACAAAACTAAATTTATTTTACCAAATCAGTTAAATTGATCTGGAAAAACTAATTAGTTGCCAAGCTAAAAGAAAATCCGAGTTAACATGGATAATTTCGTTGTAATTTACATTCTTTATTTGTCCAATAATCAGTTTCATCCC